AGGCCACCGAAGCCATCAACACGGCCAACATCGCGCTCCAAGACCGAGCCGATGCCCTCGAGGATTTGCACAAGAAGGCTGAAGGAGCCGGAAACCGTCTGGCCGAGCTCGTGGACGAAGCTAACCGCCTCGTACGCGACCCAGAAGCCCTTCCAAGCAGCTATGAGCCGACGGCCGCCGAAATGCGTGAACAACTTTCCGTTGCTCGTAACCTGCTCGCCAGCGCCCCAGCCCAAGATGAGCATACCGCCTCGTTGGCAACAACCATCGATGCGGCCGAAGCCCTTCTTCCAGTACTCGACGACCGAAACACTTACTGGAATGAATTCGTGGCTGCTCGCGACAACGCTGATCAGCTTCTCGAGAACATCGGAGCCCATCTTGATGCCCTCCAAGCCAAGCAGCCCGAACATCTCGCTGCTGCCAAGGCCGATCTGGAAGAAGCAAAACGTTTGAAGGATCAAGATGTGGAACGGCTAAAGGAAGCTGCCCGAGAGCTGCAGCGACTCTCCGAGCTACTCGACCCGCTCGAGAGCGCCTACGCCGATGTGCGATTCTTGGATGCTGACATCGATCAGAAGGTCGCCCACATCGACGACTACCTGGCCGAGCTCCACGCCGAGATCGAAGATGAACAGGTGTGCGCCGATTCCACCAAGCAATTGGACGACGAACTAAACCGTCTTCTTGCGGATATCCCGCAAGTCAACGATGTGAACAGCTTGAACGCCCTTGCCGAACAAGAACTTCCGGCACTGAAGGCTCAGCTCGACTTGCTGAAGGACAAAATGGCCAAGGCCAACGACACACGTCACCGTGTCCTCGCCGATTCCCCCGTTTATCCCCTCGAGGAGAAGTTGAATGCCGTCGAAGCGGCGCTCGATAAGGCCAAGCAGAATGCCAACGAAGCTGACAACGAGCGATTGCTGCTGGTTCTCAACCTGCAGCTGGAGCAAGTCGAACAGCTCCCACTCGACAATGTGTCTGTTGAACAGCTGGACGCTATCGAGAAGCAGCTCGAGTCTCTGAAGCCTGCTGGCGCCGACCAAGTACCACCACAAGTCCAGGCTCAGCTCGACAAGATCGCAGAGCTGAAGGCCCGCAAGGACAAGCACGACGCCGATGTGGCCCACCTTGGAGCCGCTCTTGACGACATTCGCAAGAATCTCGACGAAGCCGACAAGCTCGCCCATCCCAAGAAGAAGGGAAAGAAGGGCAAGGAACAATCTGTCCCGCCGACCACCGATGCGCTCAAGGAAGTGGTGGCCAAGCTGGAGAACGAGGTGCTACCAGCCCTCGCCCAAGTCAACAATCAAGCCGCCTCCACCCCTGGAGTCGAGCCCCAGCTTCAGGCTGCCAACGAGCTTCAAGCCAAGGCTCAAGAGCTGCTGGCCGATGCCCAGAAACAACTGGACGACCAGATGGCCGCCGATGAGAAGGCAGCTCGAGTCGAAGCCAAGCTTCTCGAGATCAAGGTGACCCCAGATACCATGGTCGCTTTGCAACGCGCCGACGAGCCACCGCAGGACGATCAAGACGAACTGCAGAAGCGCGAACAGGCTGCCGATTCGGATATTGGTCAGCTGGAGGCGAAGCTGCTCGAGATCAACCAACTTCTCGCCAGCGACGACCTCAGCCCCGAGCAACGCAAGGAGCTCGAGAAGACCAAGGCCGACACCGAGAGCTACCTGGACAAGTTGCGCAGATTGAAGGATGCGCTCCTCGACAAACTGGCCAATCTCACCAAGTACGGTCAGGAGAAGCAGAAGCTTGACTCGGCTGCCGAGCCTGTTGAAGTGGCGCTGAACACCATCTTTGACAAGTATGCCAACCAGGCTCCTCAGCCATTCGTCGTCGGAAAGGACGACTTGAGCCGAGCCGACGAGGTGAAGTCACAGCTGGCTGATTTGGCACGATCCGTGGCTGCCGCCAAGGAGTGGTTGCACGACAATCTGCCATCTCGCGAAGCCGACCTTGACGCCCAGCTGGATGATCTCAAGTGGAAACAAGAGAACCTGAACAGCCTCGTCGACGAATTGGCCAACGAAGTGCAAGCTGGCGATGCCATCCGAGCTGACTATGATCAACTGCTGCCCCTTGTCGCCGATATTGAGAACCGGGCGATGGCAGCTCGTCAGACCGGAGATCTGTCCGATCCGGCTGCGCTGAATGCTCTGAAGAGCGAACTCGAGCCACTCATCGCTCGTGTTGCCGAATTGAAGAGGAAGCAGGCCGAAAAGCCATCTCGCCTCACCGGACAACCAGAAGGCGTCGATGCCGATGGGCTGACTGATCGACTCCGCAACGTTGACAATCTGCTCAACGACGAGGAGAAGAACGTGCAGGCCAAGCTTGAGCTTGTCGCTCTTGCCAACGATGTGGCCGCTCAAGCTCAGGCCATCGATCAGGTGCTTGCCCGTGCTCAAGAAGTCGAAGGAAACCCGAATGCTTCTGTTGATGAGCTCCGCAAGGCAGCCGATCAACTCGAACAAGGCCGTCCTCTGCTTGATGCTCTCAACAACGACTACGAGAAGATCAAGGCTCTCGGAGAAGCGGAAACGCCTGAAGGCCAGAAACTGGCCGTTGCCACCCTCGAGCGTCTCGAAAAGGCCACCGAAGCCATCAACACGGCCAACATCGCGCTCCAAGACCGAGCCGATGCCCTCGAGGATTTGCACAAGAAGGCTGAAGGAGCCGGAAACCGTCTGGCCGAGCTCGTGGACGAAGCTAACCGCCTCGTACGCGACCCAGAAGCCCTTCCAAGCAGCTATGAGCCGACGGCCGCCGAAATGCGTGAACAACTTTCCGTTGCTCGTAACCTGCTCGCCAGCGCCCCAGCCCAAGATGAGCATACCGCCTCGTTGGCAACAACCATCGATGCGGCCGAAGCCCTTCTTCCAGTACTCGACGACCGAAACACTTACTGGAATGAATTCGTGGCTGCTCGCGACAACGCTGATCAGCTTCTCGAGAACATCGGAGCCCATCTTGATGCCCTCCAAGCCAAGCAGCCCGAACATCTCGCTGCTGCCAAGGCCGATCTGGAAGAAGCAAAACGTTTGAAGGATCAAGATGTGGAACGGCTAAAGGAAGCTGCCCGAGAGCTGCAGCGACTCTCCGAGCTACTCGACCCGCTCGAGAGCGCCTACGCCGATGTGCGATTCTTGGATGCTGACATCGATCAGAAGGTCGCCCACATCGACGACTACCTGGCCGAGCTCCACGCCGAGATCGAAGATGAACAGGTGTGCGCCGATTCCACCAAGCAATTGGACGACGAACTAAACCGTCTTCTTGCGGATATCCCGCAAGTCAACGATGTGAACAGCTTGAACGCCCTTGCCGAACAAGAACTTCCGGCACTGAAGGCTCAGCTCGACTTGCTGAAGGACAAAATGGCCAAGGCCAACGACACACGTCACCGTGTCCTCGCCGATTCCCCCGTTTATCCCCTCGAGGAGAAGTTGAATGCCGTCGAAGCGGCGCTCGATAAGGCCAAGCAGAATGCCAACGAAGCTGACAACGAGCGATTGCTGCTGGTTCTCAACCTGCAGCTGGAGCAAGTCGAACAGCTCCCACTCGACAATGTGTCTGTTGAACAGCTGGACGCTATCGAGAAGCAGCTCGAGTCTCTGAAGCCTGCTGGCGCCGACCAAGTACCACCACAAGTCCAGGCTCAGCTCGACAAGATCGCAGAGCTGAAGGCCCGCAAGGACAAGCACGACGCCGATGTGGCCCACCTTGGAGCCGCTCTTGACGACATTCGCAAGAATCTCGACGAAGCCGACAAGCTCGCCCATCCCAAGAAGAAGGGAAAGAAGGGCAAGGAACAATCTGTCCCGCCGACCACCGATGCGCTCAAGGAAGTGGTGGCCAAGCTGGAGAACGAGGTGCTACCAGCCCTCGCCCAAGTCAACAATCAAGCCGCCTCCACCCCTGGAGTCGAGCCCCAGCTTCAGGCTGCCAACGAGCTTCAAGCCAAGGCTCAAGAGCTGCTGGCCGATGCCCAGAAACAACTGGACGACCAGATGGCCGCCGATGAGAAGGCAGCTCGAGTCGAAGCCAAGCTTCTCGAGATCAAGGTGACCCCAGATACCATGGTCGCTTTGCAACGCGCCGACGAGCCACCGCAGGACGATCAAGACGAACTGCAGAAGCGCGAACAGGCTGCCGATTCGGATATTGGTCAGCTGGAGGCGAAGCTGCTCGAGATCAACCAACTTCTCGCCAGCGACGACCTCAGCCCCGAGCAACGCAAGGAGCTCGAGAAGACCAAGGCCGACACCGAGAGCTACCTGGACAAGTTGCGCAGATTGAAGGATGCGCTCCTCGACAAACTGGCCAATCTCACCAAGTACGGTCAGGAGAAGCAGAAGCTTGACTCGGCTGCCGAGCCTGTTGAAGTGGCGCTGAACACCATCTTTGACAAGTATGCCAACCAGGCTCCTCAGCCATTCGTCGTCGGAAAGGACGACTTGAGCCGAGCCGACGAGGTGAAGTCACAGCTGGCTGATTTGGCACGATCCGTGGCTGCCGCCAAGGAGTGGTTGCACGACAATCTGCCATCTCGCGAAGCCGACCTTGACGCCCAGCTGGATGATCTCAAGTGGAAACAAGAGAACCTGAACAGCCTCGTCGACGAATTGGCCAACGAAGTGCAAGCTGGCGATGCCATCCGAGCTGACTATGATCAACTGCTGCCCCTTGTCGCCGATATTGAGAACCGGGCGATGGCAGCTCGTCAGACCGGAGATCTGTCCGATCCGGCTGCGCTGAATGCTCTGAAGAGCGAACTCGAGCCACTCATCGCTCGTGTTGCCGAATTGAAGAGGAAGCAGGCCGAAAAGCCATCTCGCCTCACCGGACAACCAGAAGGCGTCGATGCCGATGGGCTGACTGATCGACTCCGCAACGTTGACAATCTGCTCAACGACGAGGAGAAGAACGTGCAGGCCAAGCTTGAGCTTGTCGCTCTTGCCAACGATGTGGCCGCTCAAGCTCAGGCCATCGATCAGGTGCTTGCCCGTGCTCAAGAAGTCGAAGGAAACCCGAATGCTTCTGTTGATGAGCTCCGCAAGGCAGCCGATCAACTCGAACAAGGCCGTCCTCTGCTTGATGCTCTCAACAACGACTACGAGAAGATCAAGGCTCTCGGAGAAGCGGAAACGCCTGAAGGCCAGAAACTGGCCGTTGCCACCCTCGAGCGTCTCGAAAAGGCCACCGAAGCCATCAACACGGCCAACATCGCGCTCCAAGACCGAGCCGATGCCCTCGAGGATTTGCACAAGAAGGCTGAAGGAGCCGGAAACCGTCTGGCCGAGCTCGTGGACGAAGCTAACCGCCTCGTACGCGACCCAGAAGCCCTTCCAAGCAGCTATGAGCCGACGGCCGCCGAAATGCGTGAACAACTTTCCGTTGCTCGTAACCTGCTCGCCAGCGCCCCAGCCCAAGATGAGCATACCGCCTCGTTGGCAACAACCATCGATGCGGCCGAAGCCCTTCTTCCAGTACTCGACGACCGAAACACTTACTGGAATGAATTCGTGGCTGCTCGCGACAGAACGCTTTCGATCAGCTTTTCGAGAACATCGGAGCCCATCTTTGATGCCTTCCAAGCCAAGCAGCCTGAACATCTTTCTGCTGCCAAGGCCGATCTGGAAGAAGCAAAACGCGTTTGAAGGATCAAGATGTGGAACGGTTATATAAAGCGGTTCGAGAGCTGCAGCGACTCTCCGAGCTACTCGACCTGCTCGAGAGCGCCTACGCCGATGTGCGATTCTTGGATGCTGACATCGATCAGAATAGTCGCCCACATCGACGACTACCTCGCCGAGCTCCAATGCCGAGATCGAAGATGAACAGGTGTGCGCCGATTCCACCAAGCAATTGGACGACGAACTAAACCGTCTTCTTTGCGGATATCCCGCAAGTCAACGATGTGAACAGCTTGAACGCCCTTGCCGAACAAGAACTTCCGGCACTGGAAGGCTCAGCTCGACTTGCTGAAGGACAAAATGGCCAAGGCCAACGGGACACGTCACCGTGTCCTCGCCGATTCCCCCGTTTATCCCCTCGAGGAGAAGTTGAATGCCGTCGAAGCGGCGCTCGATATACGGGCGGCGGAAAATGCCAACGAAGCTGACAACGAGCGATTGCTGCTGGTTCTCAACCCGCAGCTGGAGCAAGTCGAACCAGCCCCACTCGACAATGTGTCTGTTGAACAGCTGGACGCTATCGAGAAGCAGCTCGAGTCTCTGAAGTGCCCGCTGGCGCCGACCGAGTACCATCACAAGTCCAGGCTCAGCTCGACAAGATCGCAGAGCTGAAGGCCCGCGGGCGACAAGCACGACGCCGATGTGGCTCCACCTTGGAGCCGCTCTTGACGACATTCGGCAAGAATCTGGACGAAGCCGACAAGCTCGCCCATCCCAAGAAGAAGGGAAAGAAGGGTAAGGGAACAATCTGTCCTTGCCGACCACCGATGTGCCCTACGAAGTGGTGGCCAAGCTGGAGAACGAGGTGCTACCAGCCCCCGCCCAAGTCAACAATCAAGCTGCCTCCACCCCTGGAGTCGAGCTTCTCCCAGCTTCAGGCTGCCAACGAGCTTCAGGCCAAGGCTCAAGAGCTGCTGGCTGGATGCCCAGAAACAACTGGACGACCAGATGGCCGCCGATGAGAAGGTAGCTCGAGTCGAAGCCAAGCTTTTCGAGATTCGGGGCGACCCCAGATACCATGGTCGCTTTGCAACGCGCCGACGCGAGCCACCGCAGGACGATCAAGACGAACTGCAGAAGTGCGAACAGGTTGCCGATTGTGATATTGGTCGGCTGGAGGCGAAGCTGCTCGAGATCAACCAATCTCTCGCCAGCGACGACCTCAGCCCCGAGCAACGCAAGGAGCTCTGAGAAGACCAAGGCCGACACTGAGAGCTACTCTGGACAAGTTGCGCAGATTTCGAAGGATGCGTCCCTCGACAAACTGGCCAATCTCACCAAGTACGGTCAGGAGAAGCAGAAGCTTGACTCGCCAAGCCGAGCCTGTTGAAGTGGCGCTGAACACCATCTTTAATAAGTATGCCAACCAGGCTCGGGAGCCATTCGTCGTCGGAAAGGACGACTTGAGCCGAGCCGACGAGGTGAAGTCATTGCTTTGCGGATTTGGCACGATCCGTGGCTGCCGCCAAGGAGTGGGTTGCACGACAATCTGCCATCTCGCGAAGCTGACCTTGGACGCCCAGCTGGATGATCTCAAGTGGAAACAAGAGAACTCAGGCCAGCTCCGCCGACGAATTGGCACAATGAAGTGTTTGCTGGCGATGCCATCCGGAGCTGACTATGATCAACTGCTGCCCCTTGTCGCCGATATTGAGAATCGGGCGATGGCAGCTCGTCAGACCGGAGATCTGTCCGATCCGGGCTGCGCTGAATGCTCGGAAGAGCGAACCTGAGCCACTCATCGCTCGTGTTGCCGGAATTGAAGAGGAAGCAGGCCGGGAAGCTTATCTCGCCTCTCACCGTGGATAAACCAGAAGGCGTCGATGCCGATGGGCTGACGGATCGGACTCTGCAACGTTGACAATCTGCTCAAATCGATCGAGACAGCGAAGAACGTGCAGGTGAAGCTTGAGCTTGTCGCCTTGCCAACGATGTGGCCGCTCGGGCTCAGGCCATCGATCAGGTGCTTGCCCGTGTCGGGCAAAGCTTCAGAGTTGAAACCCATCAAGTTTCTTATTGATGTATTCCGCAAGGCAGCCGATCAACTCGAACAAGGCCGTCCTCTGCTTGATCTCTCAACAACGACTACGAGAAGATCAAGGCTCTCGGAGAAGCGGAAAACGCCTGAAGGCCAGCGGCCGGCCGTTGCCCACCCTCGAGCGTCTCGAAAAGGCCACCGAAGCCTCAATACGGCCAACATTCGCGCTCCAAGACCGAGCCGATGCCCTCGAGGATTTGCACAAGAAGGCTTGAAGGAGCCGGAACCCGTCTGGCCGAGCTCGTGGATGATAGCTAACCGCCTCGTACGCGACCCAGAAGCCCTTCCAAGCAGCTATGAGCCGACGGCCGCCGAAATGCGTGAACAACTTTCCGTTGCTCGTAACCTGCTCGCCAGCGCCCCAGCCCAAGATGAGCATACCGCCTCGTTGGCAACAACCATCGATGCGGCCAGCCCTTCCTTCCAGTACTCGACGACCTGAAACACTTGCATGGAATGAATTGCGGCTTGCTCGCGACAACGCTGATCAGCTTCTCGGCACCTTCGGAGCCCATCTTGATGCCCGCCAAGCCAAGCAGCCCGAACATCTCGCTGCTGCCCAGCCCGATCTGGAAGAACGCAAAACGTTTGAAGGATCAAGATGTGGAACGGCTAAAGGAAGCTGCCCGGAGAGCACTGCAGCGACTCTCCGAGCTACTCGACCCGCTCGAGAGCGCCTACGCACGATGTGCGATTCTTGGATGCTGACATCGATCAGAAGGTCGCCCACATCGACGACTACCTGGCCGAGCTCCACGCCGAGATCGAAGATGAACAGGTGTGCGCCGATTCCACCAAGCAATTGGACGACGAACTAAACCGTCTTCTTGCGGATATCCTGCAAGTCAACGATGTGAACAGCTTGAACGCCCTTGCCGAACAAGAACTTCCGGCACTGAAGGCTCAGCTCGACTTGCTGAAGGACAAATGGCCAAGGCCAACGACACACGTCACCGTGTCCTCGCCGATTCCCCCGTTTATCCCCTCGAGGAGAGTTGAATGCCGTCGAAGCGGCGCTCGATAAGGCAAGCAGAATGCCAACGAAGCTGACAACGAGCGATTGCTGCTGGTTCTCAACCTGCAGCTGGAGCAAGTCGAACAGCTCCCACTCGACAATGTGTCTGTTGAACAGCTGGACGCTATCGAGAAGCAGCTCGAGTCTCTGAAGCCTGCTGGCGCCGACCAAGTACCACCACAAGTCCAGGCTCAGCTCGACAAGATCGCAGAGCTGAAGGCCCGCAAGGACAAGCACGACGCCGATGTGGCCCACCTTGGAGCCGCTCTTGACGACATTCGCAAGAATCTCGACGAAGCGACAAGCTCGCCCATCCCAAGAAATGGGAAGGGAAAGAAGGGCAAGGAACAATCTGTCCCGCCGACCACCGATGCGCTCAAGGAAGTGGTGGCCAAGCTGGAGAACGAGGTGCTACCAGCCCTCGCCCAAGTCAACAATCAAGCCGCCTCCACCCCTGGAGTCGAGCCCCAGCTTCAGGCTGCCAACGAGCTTCAAGCCAAGGCTCAAGAGCTGCTGGCCGATGCCCAGAAACAACTGGACGACCAGATGGCCGCCGATGAGAAGGCAGCTCGAGTCGAAGCCAAGCTTCTCGGAGATCAAGGTGACCCCAGATACCATGGTCGCTTTGCAACGCGCCGACGAGCCACCGCAGGACGATCAAGACGAACTGCAGAAGCGCGAACAGGCTGCCGATTCGGATATTGGTCAGCTGGAGGCGAAGCTGCTCGAGATCAACCAACTTCTCGCCAGCGACGACCTCAGCCCCGAGCAACGCAAGGAGCTCGGAGAAGACCAAGGCCGACACCGAGAGCTTCACCTGGACAAGTTGCGCAGATTGAAGGATGCGCTCCTCGACAAATGGCCAATCTCACCAAGTACGGTCAGGAGAAGCAGAAGCTTGACTCGGCTGCCGAGCCTGTTGAAGTGGCGCTGAACACCATCTTTGACAAGTATGCCAACCAGGCTCCTCAGCCATTCGTCGTCGGAAAGGACGACTTGAGCCGAGCCGACGAGGTGAAGTCACAGCTGGCTGATTTGGCACGATCCGTGGCTGCCGCCAAGGAGTGGTTGCACGACAATCTGCCATCTCGCGAAGCCGACCTTGACGCCCAGCTGGATGATCTCAAGTGGAAACAAGAGAACCTGAACAGCCTCGTCGACGAATTGGCCAACGAAGTGCAAGCTGGCGATGCCATCCGAGCTGACTATGATCAACTGCTGCCCTTGTCGCCGATATTGAGAACCGGGCGATGGCAGCTCGTCAGACCGGAGATCTGTCCGATCCGGCTGCGCTGAATGCTCTGAAGAGCGAACTCGAGCCACTCATCGCTCGTGTTGCCGAATTGAAGAGGAAGCAGGCCGGAAAGCCATCTCGCCTCACCGGACAGCCAGAAGGCGTCGATGCCCGATGGGCTGACTGAGTCGACTCCCGTAACGTTGACAATCTGCTCAGCGACGGAGGAGAAGAGCGTGCAGGCCAAGCTTGAGCTTGTCGCTCTTGCCAACGATGTGGCCGCTCAAGCTCAGGCCATCGATCCGGTGCTTGCCCGTGCTCGAGAAGTCGAAGGAAACCCGAATGCTTCTGTTGATGAGCTCCGCAAGGCAGCCGATCAACTCGAACAAGGCCGTCCTCTGCTTGATGCTCTCAACAACGACTACGAGAAGATCAAGGCTCTCGGAGAAGCGGAAACGCCTGAAGGCCAGAAACTGGCCGTTGCCACCCTCGAGCGTCTCGAA